AGTCATTCTGGCCTTACAAATTGATGATGATGGCCCTACAAAGTGATGATTCTGGCCCTACTAAGTGATGATTCTGGCCCTACTAAGTGATGATGCTGGCCCTACTTAGTGATGATGTTGGCCCTACTAAGTGATGATTCTGGCCCTACTAAGTGATGATTCTGGCCCTACTAAGTGATGATTCTGGCCCTACTTAGTGATGATGGTCCTACTAGGTGTCAGAGTAGTAATAGTTCTAAGATCCACTAGCAGTAGGTGGATGGATCTTAGCTTGCGGAACACAGAGACTAACTTCATACATTCACACCTCAGAGGCGCTACACATCCAACGTCATCACCTGGAGTGTAGACTCTTCATGAATATTGTAAGCTGCACAACATACTCATCATCTTAAAAGTCATTTGGGTGATGAAAAATGTGCCATTATTAGTCATTTGGGTAGAACCGAAGGATATCAAAAGTGGTCCAGGATAATTAAAAACATGGCCTAGTAAGCTCACGTCGGTTCTTTGTGACACAAGAAAAAGAATATTTAAGGCCAGACCAACATATACAGTATGCCTCTGAGACAGATTCTTGTACTCTTCCACTAATATTTATTTTCAAATGCGTGACGCCAATGTCATGGTGAACAGACAAAGAATGAATGAACCCATTTGTATATCACCAAACCGAGTGTTTTCATTTAGTTGTAACGTTAGAAAGTTCTGAGATAGAATTTTTTTATCAAGTTTCATTGGATTACATATTTTCTTAAGATTACAGGAGACGGAACTTTGACACGCAACTAAGCCATGTACACATACATAAGTTTTGATTTGTATTGCTATCAAAGTATCTTACAGTTAGAGTTCAATAATAAAACGCATGACACGCTAGCTAATTTCCTAGATCTTATTAAGTGTTAGCTTTATACAAGGAGTCGCAAGCTCCACTAAACTAAGCTGGAATGAACGTACCAAAGCTGAATTATTTCTTATAACAACAAAGCGATAGCGCAACGCATACATAATTCATAGTCATGCAGCTGCGCTCGAGTCCGGGATGAAAAAGTACATTCATGCTCGAGAAAAAGCACATTTGTACATAAGCAGCGACCAACAACAAACTGTAACGCACAGAAAACAAACGTACATCTCGGTTGTTCGTCAGAGCATAAAAACAGCATTTCATACAGCGTAGCCTTAGTCTTATATAATCAAATGATGTATAACTGCCTTCAAGCCTCACACCTTGAATAAAGATACTTGCGTAGAATCATTTAACAGTTAAATTATTACAGTCAAAAGCTTAGTTTCTTGTAGAAATTAGCAACATACGTTACAAAAATCAACGCAAAATAAATGATAGAACCTTCAGAAGTTGCGGAAGTGAAATTTTTTCTAAAAGCATTTCATTCTTACATCATTCAACCTCATAGCATTATCAGGGAAAAAAGAACACCAAACATAATAAGTATACTAGAAGCAAGTAAAACATTTGCACGGCTTATATTTTGAGAACGAGAACACAGATAAACTCCAACGCGTTACTCTTTAGCAAGTAATCAGACGATAACGCCAGAAAATTCGTCTAACTGAAGTACAAGTCAATTCAAAGGGAAATTATTGCTTCCTTAGGACATGCTTATTGACCGTGATATCGGTAATAAATTTACACAAGTTACTCCACTCATCGCCTTTATAAACCAGCACGTATCACAACGTGAATCGCTTCGTGAAAAAAGTTGCCGTTGAAGACCCGTTTCTCACACGAACAACCAGCAAGAAGCCTAAACGCTACTTGGTAAGCTTCATTTACAAATATTCGGCATAAATAATGAGAAAGAGTAACCCTCAAAATCATATCCGCGGCAAAGGAACAGGGTTTGACAAGGCAGAAGTACACGCAAACATTATTGCAAGGAGTCAAATCAAACAATAGCTAAAGGACACACAAAAAGCAAGATCTCTTCGTGGACACCCTCAAAATAATGAACAGAATTTGCTGCAAATAAAAATCCTGGCCCCTAAATTGGGAAGCTCGGCATGTAGTAGAGGTAAGTAGCACCTTAAAGTGAAGCACCTTTGAAATAAGGTTAGATTACACGGAACCCTGGTCGATCCGCACACGCACCATGAATCGTATTTTCCTATTCATTAATAAGGTAAACGTACATTTTTGCAATAGTATTCCCGCTTTGGATGCCCTTATCATGTCGTTATTCAATTGTTTCAGGACGATATTAGGCGCACCTTTCGTGCTCTCATTCGACAGGATGCAATTTTGTGCACAGAAAAATTAACCTTTAAAAAAAGAATATTTGAACACTTTATTAAAAAACGAGTAACAAAAACTGCAGAAAAGGAACCGTGAGCCTAAAAATCACAAGACACGTCAATTCAATTGTTATTCATAGCAAAATAGTGTAATATACATTATCCAAAGAAACAGCGTCGACATTATCTTCCGCACTGCAGAACGTAATGATGCGCGAGTCCAGCACAAAATTACGGAACAAAATATCATTGAATAGAATTCTGAATGTATGAAAAGACATTAGACGTGTCCATTAGTGGCAAATATGTACATGATTCAGAATGTAGGAGCTAGTGTTATATATTCACAATTTAGACTGAAGGAATTTGCCTCACGTATAAGTTTAAAAACTACGGTCAGGTTCTAGTAACTCATATAAGGACCTCATATAGTCTGGCTCACTTCAATGACCTTTAGGGTACCCTGATATGGTTCATATATACGTTCATTTCACTGTTAAAAAAAACGGTGAAAAAACGGTCCCACCGGCGTTCTAGTGGCCGGTCGTCCCGTGAAAGTAAACTGTTTCGCCGTTTTTATCAGATGTTTTACGGATTTATAGTGTTAAATTAGAATAGAAACGGCGACACGATGTTTCTTTTCACGTGCAGGCCGGCCACTGAAACGCCGGTAATACCGTTAACGGTGATTTTTCTAACAGTGTATGATCTGTTCTGTGTAAATGTGTCTGTTTTTCGTGTAGATGTTTTCTGGTCATTATATTCCGTGTAGCTTGTGTGGCCACGAAGCTCAGAGTCCACACAGCGTCAGCGCTTTGTACAGATTCACGAAATCTGCGTGGCTCTGTATGCGCCAGAACGGGAAATCCAACTGCAACGAGAAAAAAATTAGGAATAACATAAATAATCTTAATATTGTTCGAGTAAAGAAAAATTCCGAGAGTATATTTAGACATTCGCCCAAATTTCAATCAAAAATACATGATAATTTCTTAAGGAGTTTAATATGCACTTTGCACGTAACGATAATACGTTTCTACAAAATATTTTCTTATTGACCGCGAAGTCGAATACACGGCAAATTTTGCAGCATTAGCTTATACGAGCCTTTAAGGGCAACGACACTATATAGCACCCGCAGCGTGTCTATCAGTTCAACACCTGTTCATTTTCTGATGAGACGTCAATCAAGACGTCATCAGACGTCAGTCTTGGTGTCAACGTCAGTCTTGTTAAAAAATAACCTCGAAATGAGCTAGAGTCTAGTTTGCGGCAAAAGTATTTAATGTCAGAGGAATTATTTGTTTAGAATGACAATCCACGCTCTGACCCGCATTCTCTCGAAGAACAGTAACAAAAGATTACCTTTATTGCAAAGAATTGAGCGTCAGTCTCGATTTGCGAGTTTAAGTGAAATGACGACGCACCTCAGTTAATTATTGTGTTATAACAACATTCACAGTCAGAACTGTCACGCGGCTTGAAGGACTGGCTACAGAGCGAGTTGATGTTATCAGCAACATTTCTCAAATTATAACGAACACTTGAACCCCTTCGCACATTTATCAATAATTCATGTAGCCTAAGGATGCCTAAAGATCATCCTCCCAGATAACACGTCTCAGAGGGGCATTTTGTTATAACACGTTTTGGGGCATCATGCAAGGCCATGCTGACGCACCACCCTCGACGGATACCAAGCTCAGCTCATTAGCGGTATCGATAAAAGAATTGAGCTTCTCAAGGCTCGAACCCGCGGCTTGCACGGACAAGTCGTCCACCACCACGTACCTGCTTGGCGACCACCGCCTCCTCGTTCGTGTCGCCCACCACCACGTACCTGCTTGGCGACCACCGCCTCCTCGTTCGTGTCGCCCACCACCACGTACCTGCTTGGCGACCACCGCCTCCTCGTTCGTGTCGCCCACCACCACGTACCTGCTTGGCGACCACCGCCTCCTCGTTCGTGTCGCCCACCACCACGTACCTGCTTGGCGACCACCGCCTCCTCGTTCGTGTCGCCCACCACCACGTACCTGCTTGGCGACCACCGCCTCTTCGTTCGTGTCGCCCACCACCACGTACCTGCTTGGCGACCACCGCCTCCTCGTTCGTGTCGCCCACCACCACGTACCTGCTTGGCGACCACCGCCTCCTCGTTCGTGTCGCCCACCACCACGTACCTGCTTGGCGACCACCGCCTCCTCGTTCGTGTCGCCCACCACCACGTACCTGCTTGGCGACCACCGCCTCCTCGTTCGTGTCGCCCACCACCACGTACCTGCTTGGCGACCACCGCCTCCTCGTTCGTGTCGCCCACCACCACGTACCTGCTTGGCGACCACCGCCTCCTCGTTCGTGTCGCCCACCACCACGTACCTGCTTGGCGACCACCGCCTCCTCGTTCGTGTCGCCCACCACCACGTACCTGCTTGGCGACCACCGCCTCTTCGTTCGTGTCGCCCACCACCACGTACCTGCTTGGCGACCACCGCCTCTTCGTTCGTGTCGCCCACCACCACGTACCTGCTTGGCGACCACCGCCTCCTCGTTCGTGTCNGTTATGAGGCTGAGTGAGGCTCTCTCAAATGTTATGAGGCTGAGTGAGGCTCTCATAACGTTATGAGGCTGAGTGAGGCTCTCTCAAATGTTATGAGGCTGAGTGAGGCTCTCATAACGTTATGAGGCTGAGTGAGGCTCTCTCATAACGTTATGAGGCTGAGTGAGGCTCTCTCATAACGTCATGAGGCAGAGGCTGACCTGGAGTTGATGTAGTTGAGGCATTTGAGGGCCTCACTAAGCCAGGAGTCAGTGCAGCGCTCGATGTCCGCCCGTAGCACATGCCACTTCTGCCGCATGTTGCTGTCTAGTAAACCTGCCATAAAACATTAATTTTTTTTATATATATTTTTTTTAAATGGCCTCCCACACTCACCATTCCAACAAAAAAGGAATTAATTTTATTAAATAAACATTAAATTAATATTATATTCAACATAATGCTGAATAACGGATAAAAATTTCATTGAGAATAATTCCATAGAACGGTACTAATTAGGAAGTAGTATAGGTCAAACAAATTAAGGTTTATATTTCTCCTCCCGCTTGGTCGAGTCCTGAGAAGCAGACATGAACAATAAATTAATAATATAACACAAGGGCAGTTATTTCTGTACTCGTTGTAAGTTATTTCTGTACTCGTTTTTTCTATAACAGTAAATAATATGTTAAAGAATATAGTACAGAATATAGTATAGAATACAGTAAATTATATAGTATAGAAGTATATATAGTTGAACTAACTGTCTGGATTATTTTTACAGGCGTTGTAAATCTTCTTAATTTGTCTATAACAGTAACGAATATAGCAAATAATATAGTATAGGAGTATACATAGTAAAACTGACTGCTTGGATTATTTCTGTATGCGTTGAAAATCTCCTTGATTTTTCTACAACATTAAAGAATATAGCAAATAATATAGTATAGAAGTATGTAAAGTAAAACTTACTGCCTGGATTATTTCTATAAGCGTTGTAAATCTTGATTTTTCTATTGCAGTAAATAATATAGCAAATAATATAGTATGGATGTATATACTCACTGCCTGGATTATTTCTGTATGCGTTGTAAATCTCCTTGATTTTTCTGTATCTGAAGGCGAGTTTCCTCATCCAGTCTACGCCGCCCCGCACGCCCGTGTTCAGGCCGATGCCCGCCGCGCTGTTGGCGCTCGCGAAGCCGTCCGTTGCGAAGTTGTATGTGCTGCGCGGGGTGAGGGAGAAAAATGCTAGTTATAATCTAAATAGTGGCTATGATGAATAGAGTAGTTATAATGATAATAGTAGTTGTATTGATAATAGTAGTTATAATGTAAATAACAGTTATAATTAAAATGTTATAATATAATCCGTAGCGAAGTTGTATGTGCTGCTCGGGGGAAGGATAGAAATGCCAGTTATAATGTGAATAGTGGTTATGATTTAACTAGCAGTTATTATGTATAGAGTAGTTATACTGTAAATATTAGTTCTAAGGTAAATAGCAGTTATACTGATAGTTTTATAATAAAATTTGAGGTCATTATATTTGTTCTAGATTTTGTGTTTTATTCGAAATCTTGTGTTTTGGCATTTCATATTAGTTCCTTAATGTCCCAACAATGTGCAGACATCACGTAAGAAAATTCAACAATGGGGGATTAAGGTAAGAAATATTGTGAATTTTTGACGAATAATTGCCATACTGCATTATGTATATAATTTTTGTAGGAGAGTTCAAAATAAAAAATTAAAGATTGCAAAGGGAAAATTGTTTTCGCGAATTATCTTGATTAATTAACTTGGTTAATTATCTTGGTTAATTAACTTGGTTAGTTATCTTGGTTAATTATCTTGGTTAATTATCATGGTTAATTAACTTGGTTAATTATCTTAGTTAATTATCTTGGTTAATTATCTTAATTATATTCATTACATGCATTAATTTAATTGTTGTATAACGTGACCACAAGACGTGATGATCTCACCTGAGGTCCTGGCCGTTGTCGTCAGACGCCACGTCATCGATGTGCACCTGGTCGCAGTTCTGCACGTCATAACATCGTCAGCACAACTATTAATGCAATGGCACATATTAACATTTATTTGTACCCTTCTTGACTATTCATGTACCCACAGTAAATAACTCCACACTAAGATTTTTATCTCAGAAATCAACATAAATCGGAACCTGAATCGGAAATCGAAATTTATTGCAAAAATTCTCTCAAGTCGACTCATTTCCAATGAATTTCCGGGTGATTATATATATTCAATCCCCCTAAATTGGCGTGATTTTCTTGTGAATTTCCATTTCAATATTCAATAAATTCCTATTAAATTGATTTTATTTTACAAGGAATATCGAACAAAAGACTATACTCAACTTGACCCACCTCGAGGACTTTACTACTTGACCCACCTCGAGGACTCTACTACTTGACCCACCTCGAGGACTTTACTACTTGACCCACCTCGAGGACTCTATTACTTGACCCACCTCGAGGACTCTACTACTTGACCCACCTCGAGGACTTTACTACTTGACCCACCTCGAGGACTTTACTACTTGACCCACCTCGAGGACTTTAATTACTACTTGACCCACCTCCTGGACTTTACTACTTGACCCACCTCGAGGACTTTAATACTTGACCCACCTCGAGGACTTTACTACTTGACCCACCTCCTGAACTTTACTACTTGACCCACCTCGAGATCATTGAAGAACATATGAACGTCGGCCAGGTCGAAGATAAGTTTCTCCATGAAAGACCCGAGCTGATGGCAGACTTCCCTGTCCTGTTCATGAAAAAAATGTCCATCTTTGTATGGCGAAGAACACAAAAATTATGTGCAAAATCCTTCACAATCACAAGTAAAAATTTTGTGGAAAAAGACTTGATAAGTGAAAAACCCAGTCGTGATTTTTTTAGCTAGAAAACGAATGATGGTCGTGCGGATTGACTGTGCAGAAAGGGCAAGCATTCGTTTATTAAGTATCCTTAGTGTCCTTAGCGTCCTTAATATCCTTAGAATACTTAGTATCCTTAGTATCCTTAGTGTCCTTAGTATCCTTAGTATCCGTAGTGTCCTTAGTATCCTTAGTGTCCTTAGTATCCTTAGTATCCTTAGTGTCCTTAGTATCCTTAGTATCCTTAGTATCCTTAGTGTCCTTAGTGTCCTTAGTGTCCTTAGTATCCTTAGTGTCCTTAGTATCCTTAGTGTCCTTAGTATCCTTAGTGTCCTTAGTGTACTTAGTATCCTTAGTGTCCTTAGTATCCTTAGTATCCTTAGAGTCCTTAGTATCGTTAGTGTCCTTAGTATATGTTTCGCACGTAGCAGTCCCAGGCTAAACACACTAGAACACTATATGCTAGGTAAACAAATCTACGGATTTCACAAATAATATTATGATATGGATAAATCTTGAATTAATTTTCAAACTATTTTCCTTCGCGGAAATATCTATCAATGAATAATGCGAGATTCAGACGTACGAAAACTCAAACCTGTAAACCTGATCGAATTCAAAAGACAAAAAATTCATTTAAACTCGACGCATTCAGCAATAAATGTCGAGCGCTGAGCTCAAACCATCAAAGTTCTAACAAACTGCAAGATAAGCTTCTACCGCGTATAATATTAAATCAGAATACCATCAAGATCATAAATTCAAATAAACGTTCATTCATCTAAATTTTTCGTACGTAAGTTTTATGTAAACTGGTCACAAAAAACCATCGTCATCGTAACATCACTACGTACATTATGTGGAACATTAATTCGTGTATTAGGTGAAAGAAAAATACGTGTGTCACGTGGAACACTATAATGCCTGGGTTACACGTTAGGGAGGTGATTGAGGTCAGGCGAGGGCAGATGTATGGAGGCGAGCTTCTCATAAACCGTACATATGTATATTTTACACAAGTTACCTAAATTACCTTTTAATATAGTTAATCTGTGCTTTCTCCGAAGTAATTTTTACATGCCATAAATATCCAGGGGTTGTGAGAATGCAGTATGAGAACCATATTATCCTTTAATTAATACCGGAGCCTATAGGAAACGCAACCTACTCCAAAGTTTGTTTGCGTTCAAATAAATTCGTCCAATGTCGCGTGTATAAAAGTCACGCATTTCATTGAAACACTACACAACTTATTCAAGATTAGCTGTACCAGAACAAGTGAAGCGCGAACTCTAATCCTGCCTCAACAATAAACAGCGAGCGTTTAAGCAGCACAGCTACGCAATAAATTTGATAGGAGAGCAGCATTTAGGTGCACATTATGAGCGTGTTTTGAGACTGCTAGCCAAACACTAGCTGCTCTACATGCATGTATGACTCCACATGCATGTATGAACATGTCAACATGGTCAGCTCTCACGGTCCCTGTACCCTATATATGCACCACCCTAACCCCCAGTAACACATCTGTTGTCGACGCTTTTTGTGCCCAACATACCCCTCAACCGCTGCCTTATACCCCACACATACCCCGCCAACCGCTGCCTAGCTTATCCTTGCCAGGGTGCGAATTTGTAGTGAGAATCACAGAAAATGTATGGTGAGGAGAACTATGACAATCGCTAAGTCTGTTGTCCGGACAAAAGACATCTTTGCATTGAGAATCATAGGAATGTATATCTATTGGCAATGAGACTAGTCGCCCTCGTGTCTACTTGCCTACTTATTCAAAGCATTTTTATCCAAGTAGATTTGCATAACAAGGGCATATTATTATCTATAGCATCTCATTCTCTGCAATTCTTTTGCATGACCGCCTGCATGGAGAGTGTATTTCAACTGTATAATTCAACATAAATTGTCCAATTTTCTCTAATTTTTCATCGGCATTTCGAGACGCATAATGTCGGAACATGACGGTTCAAAACTTAAAACACATTTTATAAAAATGTATCCTTTGCGCGGGACAATGACACTGCAATCACTGCAAAATGGCTTCATTGACTCCCTCGATCGCAAAGCAGCCTTGTCTATTATTTTCCTAATTTTGATTATTTAAACTGAATTTATATTTATTTACGGGCTGCAACCTAGAAACGGTTGATCACTGAGCTCTGCAGCCCTCGTTGTGGTGTGGGTTTGGTGAGAACGCAGCTGTGTACTTGACACTTCAGGCCGCAAGTGTACAAGTCAGGACACTTGCTCGCGCATAACACTTGTAAGTGAAACGCCACTATTTAATACCTTTCGCCGCAAGTGTACAGTCGGGACACTTGCTCGTGCATGACACTTGTAATTGAAACGCCATTATTTAATACCTTTCGCCGCAAGTGTACAAGTCGGGACACTTGCTCGTGCATGACACTTGTAATTGAAACGCCATTATTTAATACCTTTCGCCGCAAGTGTACACGTCGGGACACTTGCACTATACATTTACAACCAATGCGATATTCATCGCATGCACCGTGAAATTAAATAAAGATCAAGTCTACTCTGAGGTCAATTAAGTTCACCCATTCCTTACATTTGTTTATTGACAACAAGCGCAAGCAAGGGACTAACTCAAATATTGTCTTCATTTTGTGTCATCACAAACTCAAATGTTTAGGTGCATTAGATTTATCCCGACCTTGCATCTTGAGTGTTGTCTCAACGTTCATACAAGCAATTCAACTTGAATGCCGTTATTTCGAATAAATTATTTGAGAAGTGCTCAGGATTGAATTTTGTGCATTTCAAATATGACATACTGTAGGTACATAGCTTCGGCAAATTGGTTCACAAACCATACTATGAAGAACATAAAACTTAAACGTTTGTACAGTGGAGGTTGGCAACTCAAATAAACTGCTAGTATTATTTCATGTCACAAATGTGAAGAGGAATTATAGTGAGCCATTGAAAAGAGAAGCTAATTCTGTTTATTTCCAATGATGTTTTGTTTGTAGCACGACAAAGACATAGAATATATGCATAGATTAAATAGTCATTTATTCTAACAGTGGGAGGCGGTTACCCTCTCTTTCAATGGTATAGGGTACTGTATATACTGTACACGTACATACTGTAGGTATATACTGCACACGTACGTACTGTATATGTACTATACACGCACGTGCAATAGGATAAATCCTATACTTGATCTTCTTTTTCGGATCGTGGCAAAAACTTCTTATTACGAAATAATGGCAGAAATAAAAAATTGAGGCAACGATGAAGCATAATGTATGTTGCGGTGAGATTGACATTCACAATAAAATACGGTGAAGGACAATTAGAAATTTTATATAGTTAAGGAAATTAACTGCCTGTGACAGAAGTGATGGTAATGCATCGTATGAATCATATTTATACATAAAAATAAATCATATACATAAATAAATAAACTAAATACATAAATGGTATTTAGTTGAACAATAATGAAGAACAGCTATATATTCCATATTAAATATTGAATAGTTTGCAGTCATATGCCATGCGCAAGGAGATAGAAGACAGAGCAGCGCTGGTGACGAAGCGTTCGTGCAGAGCAGCGCTGGTGACGAAGCGTTCGTGCAGAGCAGCGCTGGTGACGAAGCGTTCGTGCAGATGACGAAGCGTTCGTGCAGAGCAGCGCTGGTGACGATGTTCGTGCAGATGACGAAGCGTTCGTGCAGATGACGAAGCGTTCGTGCAGATGACGAAGCAGTGACCGCATTGCTAGCACAGCTCCGAGCGTGTTTGCTGGCTTAAGCGCTGCACAGTTTTTTTTCGCCTCACTTCTTCCCCAACTGCTGAGGTTCCCACGCCAGGGGAGACGGCACCGACACCAGGGGAATACAATAGAGGAAGAGCGAACGCATGAGGAGCGTGAAGTGTGGGCATAGGTTGGGGATGAAGCGACGAATGGGGATGAATAATGCATGAAGAGCGTGAAGTGTGGGCATGGGTTGGGGCTGAAGCGATGAATGGGGATGAATAATGCATGAATGCCGTGAAGTGCGAGCAAAGATTGGGGTTGAAGGGATGAGTGAGGATGATGTGAAGGGTATAGGCACAGGTTGGGGTTGAAGGGATGAATGGGGATGAATTATGCATGAATGCCGTGAAGGGTGGGCAATGGTTGGGGGTTGCAGGGATGTATAAAAATAATATTAGACGAATGGTGGCCTGGGAGAGTGGGTTGGGATTGGTATAATTGAAATTAAAATCAATCCAAATTAATTTTATAACTGAAATCGGTAAGTTTATCCGGAAATTGATAGGTCGGTAAGCAATTCATGTACCGAAGAAAGATTCAATGCACATCCCTTCTGGCTTTTTCTCTTTTATTTGTTTCTGAAGGTATAATTAAGGATTCGCATTTTTGACCATGCATTTTTCAAGTTTTGGTGACGATGAAATATTTTTAAAGTCCAGTATAAGCATACCCGCCATGTGCACCAGTATAAACATACCTGCCATGTGCACCAGTATAAGCATACCATGCGCACCAGTATAAGCATACCCGCCATGCGCACCAGTATAAGCATACCCGCCATGCGCACCAGTATAAAAATACTCGCCATGCGCACCAAAGCACCAGTGAGACCGAAGAGAAACAAGAGACTCGATTGCGCTACAAATTAGCCAAGCTGTTGATTGTACAACCAATTGATGAGACGATGAGACTTAAATTAAACCAGCCATAATAGTGACACCACAATTTCACGCTCCGAGCAAGGCACCATAAAACTCCAATATATTGTTTAAATGCGGTCATACCGTACGTTTTAAGTGGAGTGGCAGCACTAGAAACGTCAAGCATTAATGTGTTCCGTTCGAGCAGTCATTGCTATTCCGATCACGTCGAGCGCGCGTGCTTTAAAACTAAACTTGCATTTAATTACATATGGACTGGTTAGGTTGTGTAGGACTCTTTGTGGCACACGGCTCGCTCCTTCGGGTCCTAAATTGCGTTAAATGCAATCCCATGAAATGAACAGCAGCGAATTATTTCTCACATGATGTCAGAAATAAAAAGCAACGGATTTTAACAGGGTTACATTTAAATTTTTGTATGACAGTATTGATCAGGATACTTCTGAGGAAATATATTTTACATTTCCATAGAGAGTGAGTGCAAATTTTAGCAGCTACAGTTAGAGATACTAAATGTTGCTCTCTCCTCAAATTGCAATAAAAGTTTTTTACATGTTGTAAAATAAAGCTATGGAAAAATATATGTTCAGATTTGAAATGCCTAGCACCATATCAAACCCGGTGGAAGTCTAGTAGCTTCTTCAAACTATCGTCAGTCATGAAAAGATCCGGTCAAATGACAGGAGTTTAGATCTATGAACAGGGCACGAAAAGGAAAAGAATCGGCGACAGGCCACATCAGGCCTACACTTCAGCGCCGACATCACTATGTTATGTTATGAATGTTTTCAATAAATATTGATAAATGTTGTTTATATATGCTGATAAATGTAAAAAATTGTGCGTGACTTAAAAAGCCTTTCCCGAATTCATCGAGCTGCAATTTCGGGATTTGGAGTTGAGAAGTTTTTCACAAATTATAAATAGTGCAAAGATTCAAGATACTGTCCACTATTGCGACAATCTTATAAATATTTACAAAATTCTATAAATATTTCACAATCAGCCATCAGAGAGCGGTTCTCATCAAAAAGTATATAGGATCACGACGATAAAATTTTGTTCGCCTTGTTTCTGACATTTTAAGTTGGAAATTTAAACCGCTAACATATATTTGTGCATTAAACGCTATACATAACACCTCATGCGCAATTGATTTGATCGACCCAAATATTGATTTTCATGAACATTGATATATAACTTGATACTGATACTCCTACTCAATGTATCAGTTAGTAACTTTAAACGATCTACAACTACTTAATTTATGAATACCTACATGATGATGCTATGCGATGCATGAATACCTACATGAAAATCTACATGCCAACCATACATGATGTAGAATTCCTGACCTTGCCGAAGCTGTGATACTCCTACTCAATACAAGATTGCCTACATGATGAACCTACATGATCTACTTCTACTCAATCTATAATTACCTAAATGATGGCGGCCCTACATAATGTAGGCTAACCGTGCCGAAGCTGCGAGACTCCTACTCAATGTATGATAACGTCCAACATGATGATCCTACATGATTCACTTCTACTCAATCTATGATTACATAAATGATGACCCTACATAATGTAGGCTGACCTTGCCGAAGCTGCTGGCGAAGGCGCCGGTGAGGAGGGCATGGAAGATGATGATGGTCTCGTCCAGGTCCCAGATGTAGACGCGGTCCACTTTGTTCTCCTGGTCGTTGGGGGACTGTGCCCGTCTGCTGCGCTGGCTCCGAGTCCGGCCTGATACATGCGTTACATGCAGTGAATTAATGGGAATTATCTGGGGATAGGATAATTGCGCCATATTGGTAATTGGTAAGTTAATTGCGCACAGTATTGGTAGCTCTTAACTATTGAGGAAGGGGCAGTAGATTTGGAAAAAATAAATGAGGCATAAAAATTAATAATGAATATTTTTCCATTTATACTTTCAAATGGCAGTTTTTTTTAAAGCAAGGGTGAGACATCACATTACATGATCATGAATTCATACTTTGAAATGAAGAAGTACGCTAAATTGCAATGAATGCTTAACAGACAACTGCACGCTTATAAAAATGTATGCGTCATACTGTACAAATAGTGACACATTTTTGCACATGTGTAAATCGGTAAGCAGACATTAACTTGTTATCGCTGAAATAACGTTTCAAAATTTATTGGTGATGGTACTTTTGCTGCTCAACCACGACTTGAATTCTACGCAAAGTGCAAAAGAAAGGTAGGAAAATATATGCTTTACGCAAATGAAGCTACAAGAACAATACGCAAGTTTAATTTTCGTATTGTTCTTGCGTAATGTTTTATTATTATTGCGTATTATTCTTGCGTTTAAATTGCGTATTATTTCATTAACACACAAAAACTCCCTTGCGTTTAATCTTCAAATGTTCCCTCAGCTTTCGAAGCCATTGTAATTGTGCAATTTTGCGAGCTGAGATGCTTCCTGAAGCCTATTTGCAAATTGGATGCGCTCGCCTATAATGGAAACTTCTCCTCAAAAGCCTGATTGAAGACCAACTTCTTGGGACAATTTTAAGCGGGAGTTGTACGGAAGTTTCCAGGCTCAATTTACAGGCTTAATAAAGGCAATAAAATGTCGGTTTACTGACTTCGTCTAAAATTAACTCGAGTGTAGAAAATTTGTCCTTTAACTCGTATATAAATTAATCATTCAAGTTAGGAAATGATAGGAAACATTTATGCTTTAAAAGTTTAAATGAAATAATATCACCCGGAGATCGCCAAGATCGAGAGATCGAGATTTATATATATTGATTCAGCGGATATTAAATAATTGATGGTCATTAATGGTGAAGTAAATAAATAAAATAATTCTTCGAAGATTAAAGTTAGAACAATCCAATATAATTCAACGAATAAGAATGAAGCTGCAGACATGAGATTATGTTTAAAAGTGCGTGAAGTACCGCAAGTAATATACATTTATTAGAAAAAAAAAACGGAAGTTTAGAGATTTTTCAGACGTCGGACGCTGGATCAGTGCACTCAAAGAAATGAGGGGGACTTTGTCCAAACAGCGACGCACTTTTTACCCTTGCATGAAGTCACCCTGACCCAGCTAGGCCCTGAAAAAAGGCGTATCTCAGCTCCGTTCACTCTCTGCTCGTGCACAAGGTACTCAAGCGTGTCACCATTTGGACAAGTAGGCCAATATTTTTAGCACATTTTCTCGCTTATGGAAAAAATGCACTATTGTGCTCGCCATGTCCGTCCGTCTGCCTGTCTGAGTTATATTTTTTGAGTGTAGAGGCGCCTAAGGCACAATCGATACTCACCGGCATCCTTGAGAGGGGACGGCGGGCTGTCGCCGCTCTGGAAGGCTCCGGTTTCTGAGGGAAAAATAAAGCAAGGAATCATGTTTGGCAATTATTTCCGGAGCAGCAGCAGCTTTCCAGGAACATTTTTCCATTTTTCCAGCTTGGGAAAAATTTTCCAGAAGACCTTGAGGTATGCCATCACTTCGGGAGATGAGGGGAGCTACAGCGCTAACACTCAGATAAACGAATGTGTGAATTGTCCAAGTAGTGACGCACGTGACACACTTATCTTACCTACAGCAGGAGCAGAGAACGGACGTACGTAGCACTGATACGCCGTAGTGTCGAGCCATAATGGGGTCGAAATGAGCCACACACGGGCAAAAAAGTGCATCAAGGTTTGAACAAATTCTTATTCATTTTTAGCGCATGTTCTCATTTATGGAAAAAAATGCACTATTGTGCTCACCATGTCCGTCTGTCTGTCTGTCCGTGACCTCAAGTTTTCGTCGACGAGAAAATGCGCTCTCTGTCACTCACTGCAGTGAGTACTGAGTTATATTTTTTTAAGTGTTTGACTGTGGTCGAGTATAATATCGCCCTTATTGACGGTCTTGTGTTTTAAATATCTCGTTGAAATGTGTAATGTTGAAGAAGAAAAACTATGCGCTCCTTGTTAGAAAAAACTCTAACACATAGTAGTTGCAAGGAAAACTTGTCCGGCATAGGTTCCTCGGAACATATTATATAAAATTTAACAATGTTCGGGACTTTCTCCAGTACGCGCGTCTCAAGTTTTTTGTTGCGCCGAATTTATATTATGGTTCTACTTTTTGAAAAAAATTGCTGCTATGGTCAGGGACTTACCATCATGGATGGTCCCAGGAGGCATCACCACCTGGTAGGTGGTGGCTGCAGCAGCTGCAGCTGCAGCAGATGGCAATGTCAGGTTGGCAGCAGCTGCAGCAGCGGCTGCTGCACCTGCAGCGTTATGATGCACGGTGTTGCCACCTGTCGTGCCGACATTTCCGTTAGCGGCCGCCATGTAGGGGTAGCCTTGGCTGTAGTAGTATCCTGCCGCGGCCGCCGCACCGCTGTTCGCGTACGCCGAGTAGTACGCCGCAGAGTCTAGTCCCTGCGATTTGGACAACACGCAAATGAATCAAAATTGTTTAGTTATCTCTCATTGATATTAAAGAAGTTCATCAGGATCTTTACCAAGTGAAATCATCTGTACATAATTGAAATTGGCACGAAGTAAAGGACAAAGAAAAAATCCTGCTTAGAGATGGAAACTCTAAGGTTATGTATGCAGGTATGTCAGTGACTGAACTCGGTAGCTACTGAGGATAACCCTTTCGGAGAAGATCAAAGAGATTACGAATAGTCACTCTGTCAATAGAATGAAGATCACAAACCAAAAAAAAAACAATGTTTAAATTTCTTTACATTTATAGAAACAAAGAAAGCTATGGCAAATGGTTTGTTGGTGAGCTTAGGCCACCTGTTGCGTGGCGTAGCTCTGGCTGGCGGCGCCGGTGAAGGCGGAGGAGTTGTAGGGGGTGCCATAGTAAGGGTTCTGGCAACTCTGGGAGCTGTTGCCAGCTGCAGATGTAAAGCCGCTATAGCTGCCTAGGTATGAGGCAGCTCCTGAGGAGCCGAGGGAGCCCGAGGAGCCGAGACATGATGATGACAGGCCGTTGGAAGAGCCGACTGAAGAGTTCGATGTTTTGCTGTGGTTGAGTTGCCGCGTTGAGCCTTTAGGGAAAATAATAGAGATTAATAAAGTTCAAGAATGCAATGAAAACTTTAGGGCTGCACGCACGTATTTTGTTCATAAGACCCTTGTTCGTAGGTACAAATATAGAATAAAGACTGTCTACATCAAATATATCAAACATACTTACTATACACACCCTCTACATCAACCAAAAATAGTGAATTTGTGCCAAAAATTAAATAGAGTTGCCGAGAGCTTACGTTATAAAGTGAGCAGTTGTTGCTGCGTGTGGATAAAAATCCCCAGTACAGAGATTTACCATGAAAGGTTCGGTCGATAAGTAGTTTGTTCAAGGATCTGAACACTCGGAGAACAAAGTTGGAGTATCCAAAAGACTTATAGAAAATGGTGAGAAGATTAGCAAAAGATTTAGCAGAGCTCAACTTAGTTACCCCTAACAGTAGTAGTAGTAAATGGTTTGCTATTTCGCACCGGAGATCAAAACATAACATTGCCAGCATGGCGGAAGGTCTCAATTATTTCAAGTTTCTTAAATCAAAAATCGTTCATCACCCACAAGGGGCGGAAGGTCTAAATTGTCCAGCCCGCTGAATCTGTCGCGAAAGAAGCAGCGTTAGTATCTCAAAGAGACGAAGTGACAAGGAGGGACATGTGAAAAGCAACAGAAACTAAGACACTCGAACAAGAGGTCGCTTACACGGGACGTCGGCCACCCGCACGGGAGACAGAGAATGGAAATGTAAGGAATACTACCTTCTTAATACTTGATGTAAGGAATCCTACCTAATTATTAACTTATAATAAGAAATCCTACCTACTTAATAACTTAATGTAAGGAATCCTACCTACATAATTACTTAACCCGATAACTGAATACAGTCTGACATCGCGAGCTCTGCGATGGGGCGCTCAGGAAGGATCCCCCTATAGGAGCGCGAAATCCCATAGGACTTCTAACGCGCACAGACACGCGTCAGAAGTCCCTCCTGAGAGGTATAGTAACCCCTAACAACCCGACAGGCATCGAACGTTGATTAAACGTCGTTTCAATGAAATCAGCTCGACATGAACAATATTGGATATATATCAAATTGGAAATTTCAACGTCATTTGCCTGGAGCGATATACTTATAGCAGTAGGGTGGTTTTGCACCCAGCAGCATACACCCGTAAAGTGGTCCCACATAGTTGTAGCAGTAGTATGGTCCCACATAGTTGTACCAATAGAGTGGTCCCACATAGTTGTGCCAATAGAGTGGTCCCACATAGTTGTGCCAATAGAGTGGTCCCACATAGTTGTAGCAGTAGAGTGGTAGCAGTAGAGTGCTCCCACATAGTTGTAGCAGTAGAGTGCTCCCACATAGTTGTAGCAGTAGAGTGCTCCCACATAGTTGTACCAATAGAGTGCTCCTACATAGTTGCACCAGTAGTGTGGTCCCACATAGTTATACCAATAGAGTGCTGCCACATAGTTGCACCAGTAGTGTGGTCCCACATGGTGCCAGTATTGTGGTCCCACATGGTACCAGTATTGGGACATCCCACTTATCAGTCATCGTCCACTTACCAAGCAGGTACTCAGCTCCGTACGCTGCGTACTGGGAGTTGGGCACGGCGTTGTAAAAGCCTGCGCCCGCCTGCATGTAGGACTGACTGCCGTAAGCCTGCATCGAACTGCCGTTGACAAAAAAATGTCAATTAATCATACAAGTTATAGGTGTTACAGTTGAAAAATATGGACCACTCATTGATGTAGTATTTACAGCAGTGACGCTATTATTCAGCGTACCATGAATCACCGCGGCACTTATAGCAGGGAAGCTTTTACACCAACCACTCATTCTTGAGGTAGTGATGATAAAAAAGGTCACAAAAATCATCATCGAGATGCTGTGCACATTAATAAATGAAATTAATTCACCACATTATTAGAACAATGGTAATAATTGTAAACTCAAAATAGAAACAAATATAGGGAGCACTTGCCTGGAATGCAATTGCAGGTATGAAGCAGAGAGATCAGCAGAAAGCTTATCGGGTAGAATATATTGGTTAAATGAGTCTATGTTGAAGCCAGCGTCGCTGTCGCTGGCCGCTGCCACTTCTGACTTCACACCTGCGCAGAGATGACAGAAATATCGTCAGTTTAAATCAACACTTTTGATGTGATGTTTTCATGGTATCTTAAAAAACAGAGTTCAATAATCGAATAATTTGTAGATTAAAAGTTGATTCACGTGATATTTACGAAGTAAGGGGAAAGTAATTCGATATAGATTTGATTATTTTTTGCCTAATTCCAGCCCGTTGCATAAAACCTTTAGTAACATTCGAGCATCGAAGTTTATTGATACGGCGTATAACATTACAAGGGTTCTAAATTAATCAGCTTAATATTTGGATTAATTGAATCAAATAACATTACAAATAAAGAACTAAATAAAAATACTCACAGAGTTGGTTATTAGACACAGCAGAAGTGACGGGATTATCAGGAACATTGTGGCTTGGAAGATTGTTGTTGTTCTCGACGCAGCTGGTGTCAGGAGGTAGCACTGATGCTAGCCAGCTGTGATCAGCGCCCGACAGCGCCGTGCCTTCTGACGGTGAAGGAACCGATGAATCTGCGACGTATTTACCTCCGCTACACGACGATGACGAAGTCGAAGACCCAGGAATGTAAGACGAAGGAGTTGACGAAGGGCATAAAGATCGCGGCGAGGAGTCAGAGGAAATAGCAGACACGGTATTCAAGATGGTGGAGGTGCTGGCCCCGACACGGGGAAGGGCGGATGAAGGAGGTGACGAAAGAGACGGTGAAGCTGTCGTGGCGTCACCAGCGGCCATAGACTGGCCGGTGTCGACCCGAGTCTGGTGAAGCTGTTGAAGCTGCTGGTGATGTTGGGGATGATGATGTAGTGTTGATATCTGCTGTTGCTGGTGGAGGTGATGTGGATGGTGTTCAGAAGTCAACGGGTGCGGTAAATCAGACAAATCTACCCCTTCTGACGCAGCGCTGTTGACAAGGTCTGCGAAGTGGGACAAGCTTGCGGACGACACGGCGGTGGCGCAGAGGCCGAGGTTGCCGTTGCTGGCGGTCTCTGATGGAATGGGGCGGTTGGGGGAGACGCCGCTGGATGTGAGGGCCGTACGGTCTGGCAATACCTCACTGCGGGAGGAAGAGGAGGAGGACATACTTAAAAAAGAATTATAGGTTTGTACGATGGAGGGAATGAATATGAGGCCGTATATAGTATCTAAATTAGTTATGAGATCGTGACTCCGTTAGCCAATCACAGCCGCTATATTTCTAAAATGTACGGTGGAGAAGAGCCATAAATCAAGAAATTCGGTAAAAAATTAGATAGAATGAAATTAGACCCCTGGTCTGAATTATTTCATAATATTATAGTTTGGTTAATAGGACCAAGATGTTCCTACACTGTAAATCAACCAAGATTACTTAAGTGCTACATTGATGATTATAAAAAATAATCAAGTCGACAGAGTCAGTGAACTGTTCTGAGCTCACTCATGCTTGAACAAAAAGTTCCAATTAAAATTTTCAAGAAGAGTTTAAATTTATTAAATTTTCGACTAGAAATTGTAGCATAAAATAGACTCAACTTTGCCGAATACTAATAATTAGTCTAATCCTTATAGTAATGAATAAAAACAAGAAAAGACAATTCCCGCATGACGACTAACGTTTGAATCTACGAAGACTTAAACTTTTTTGTTGAATCAACGATGAATGGTCTGGCATCTAACAGTTGGACGAGCTTGCTTGCTTCCAATGTTCCTTCATATCAACAGTTTTTGTACAGACGTTGTTCAAGTTATCCGCGATACATGGGACTACAAAGGATAACGCAGTCAATCAAGCGTAAACGAAACTACGTTCGGGCCTCGACGCTTGTCTTCATATTAAGGGTAAGATTCAATGTTTTTATGATCATCATTGATCATAAAAAATGTAAGCTAAATCACTCAAAACTAGAATATAATAAAATATAAATGTAATCTTGTTGGCTCTTGTTTTGATTTCGATAAAATTTAAATATGATCTAAATCACTCTTGCCTCGAATTTAAGAAAATAGAATCTAAAAAAATTTCAATCTCTCTTGATTAGTTGAAATTTCAAACAGTAATATTTTTTATTTTCAGTTTCGCCTCTGTATTGACCTAAGACTTGATGGTTTTGTATTAACCCATCGTTATCATAATTCTGAAGAAACTCGCAAGTAAATCATGGTAATTATGATTGTTGAACTGCAGCTAGAAGGTATTTAAATCAAACTGATTTCAGTTCTTTAATAAACGGCATACTTGGTGCTATATATGGTGTGACCAACTATAGATGATACTTTGATCATCTATATCTTCTGTATTTAAATCAAACTGATTTCAGTTTTTTAATAAACGGCATACTTGGTGATATATATAGTGTTTGACTAACTGTTGACGATACTTTGATCATCTTTATCTTCTACTTAATTATAGATGATCAGATCTGACTGTTGGAGGTTTTGAATGACGAATTTAAGACAAGCTTAACACACAGACTCTAGGCCAAAAAACTTAAATGAACAGGCAGTTTAAAAATGCAATAATTGGACACCTGAATAAAATTCAGACTTGTTTACACTCTTACATTAAGATATCCGAAATATATATTTACACGCTTTAAAAAAACTCGAAAGTATTCTTTTTATTTTCATCCCTCCAGGTAAATGACGTTGAAACAACTTTACGTACGAGTTGATTTCGTTAAAATAACTTTTAATCAAGGTTATACCAAAGCCAGATGCATGGTGGGTTTAATCCCGAACTAAAAAAATTCATAGCCGAAGTCAAGGGTGAAATTTTACCCACACAATGAAACTTGAAGAAAACTTAAAATACAATAAAAAAACTAGGAAAAAATATTTAATTACGTGAAATTTTTCCCAACACAATAAAACTTGAAAAAAACTTAGAATATAATAAAAAACATAGGAAAAATAAGTAAAAACGCGAAAAATGCGCATGCGCAGTGACGCGTGAGCGGCGAACGCGATGTGAGGCGACAGGCTTCATGCGCAACACGCGCGCCTCTCCTGCATCACCGCGCATAATGAGACAACAGTGATGCTGGTGATGACAGTGATGCTGGTGATGACAGTGATGCTGGTGATGACAGTGATGCTGGTGATGACAGTGATGCTGGTGATAACAGTGATGCTGGTGATGACAGTGATGCTAGTGATGACAGTGATGTCATCACTAGCATCATTCATCGAGCTGTTCTCATTACTCATTCAGTTCTCATTACGCGTGAATACTCATTCATCGAGCTGTTCGCAAATATTTTAGTAACGCAAGTGTAGGAGCTTGAACAGGAACATCGCTAGAATTAAGTGACTGTTACCGAAAGCTCTGAATTTATTCCAACCAAAATATATACAACGATAAAATGGTGGTGACGACTTAGTATTTGCATATAGTATATTCGTACTTACAATTGTTCTGTGTTATGGATACTATAGGCGGTGTGAGGTTCTAGCGGTAGTTGCTTCAAAACGATGTTAATGATGTAGAACAACAGTACAATGTTAATGATGTATAGCAACAAAACAATATTAATGATGTGGAACAACAGTACAATGGTAATGATGTAGAACAGCAAAACAATATTAATGATGTAGAACAACAGTACAATGTTAATGATGCAGAACAACAATACATTTTCGCATATTTATTTCTGAGGAGAAGTAGAATTAGAGTTGCTCGTAGAATGAGGCGAGCGCAATCCGTAGACTAGAGTATGAGGGAAGGTGTGTTTTTTTTCTTTACCGGCATGAATAATCTTCATGCAGTTAAAAAGCGTTAGATTAAATGGTTTCTTCTCTCGGGTAAGATTATATAGTTTTGCCTTTAAGGTAAGAATATATGGTATCTTTGAGGCAATATTAAATGGTTTCCTTAAGGCAAGATTTATTTAGGGTGAGATTATTTATCCCAGTATACATTTAGGGTCATGTGCTTGTACAGTACATGTGCTTGTACAGTGATAATTAATTAATTGTGTATTAAATGCAAGCAGTAAGCCTTGATGTTCCATGGTATAATTAATAGATTAAAATGTCAAGAAGAAAACAATCAAAATATTATGGGCTTCAGATATCCAACTTATCGTAGAGAAAAAGAATAAAATTAGGACGAAAAACAGAGTTAAAATAGATTTTTTGCCCTCGACAATTAATCTATGCTTGGAAATATTGAGATAATATCGGTATTTAAAATGCGCATGCTTCAATATAAGCGTTCATAGAAGCACCATACAAATTCATTCTATCAATTAGATTAATAGATTAATTAATAGATAATGCTCTACTCTCGTAGATTAGATTAGTGCTATATACGAGAGTAGAGCAATTTGATCGCATTATTATGAAATGTTTGTTTGTTGCTTCTCTGTTAAGTATAAAACATGCATGTATATTAAAATAATCATTGCGATCTGTTGACAGCTTTGGCTCGAGATATGATTTTAAAATTTGGAATTCTATATATAGGCGATATTCTATGTCGCTGACCAAATTTAACCATCGTCACAAAATTCTGATTAATTGTCATCGTCACATTAAAAAATTTATAATATAACCCCCTCAAATATGAGGCCGAAGATGACTATTTTGGGCGTGAATAACATGAATCTTGCACAAAAATTCTTCATTTCATGGTAATTTAATTATTTCACTATTCATTCCTCCGTGAATTATGAGCTGGAAACGCACGTTCAAGATATATCGTGTACGAGAAATTTATAGGTTCTGGATTTTTTTAGACAGTCATAAATTTTCATCTAAAATAACTTTAATTCACTATATATCGAAAAAATTATTCGTCATTGCCAGATAAAGAAAATATACACTTCATGGAAGCGGCGTTCTTAGCTTCTGATCAAATATTAATGGCAATTACTTGGAAACAAAGTAAAAGAATTCCGTTGCCTAGATAATTTTCTAGGAATCTGTGCTATGTCTTGAATATGGTATTAATGCTATGAAACACCTATACTTGTGTTAATGACGCATTAAACCTCGTTTTACTCAACAGTATGAAGCACCTATACTTGTGTTAATGACGCATTAAACCTCGTTTTACTCAACAGTATGAAGCACCTATACTTGTGTTAATGACGCATTAAACCTCGTTTTCCTCAACAGTATGAAGCACCTATACTTGTGTTAATGACGCATTAAACCTCGTTTTACTCAACAGTTGAATGGCGGCGGGGAAATTAGTGGGCACAGCGTCTTCATGGTGGGCATTGACGACAGCTCTCAGGGCGAGGCTCTCAATGGAGGCAATTCTCCGGGACTCAGCGCAACAAAAGCGGCTTTTGTGCCCTAAACTAAACTGCAGGGAATCTCGACAAGCTCCACTTCATTGCTGGCACGAACAAAACCAGTCCAGCGTGGCTGGAAGTGGCGTGAAGTGAAGGTATAAAGGTGGCTGGAAGTGATGCATGGGTTGGCTGGAAGTGGCGTGAAGTGATGGTATAAAGGTGGCTGGAAGTGGTGCCTGGGTTGGCTGGAAGTGGTACATGCATGGGTGGCTGAGAGTGGCGTGAAGTGAAGCTAAGCATATGAAGCAGTTCGCTTCATGTGGCAAGCTAAAAGCGTTGATTAGTGGGGTGGCATTAGGTCTCAATTATGATTTAAATAAAATTTTAACAAGCTTCTAAATTTCGCTAGGTGCTTTCTGGTACTTCATTTCACTATGTCCATTTGATTTATTTATTAGTAACTAGTGATGATCACGAAACCTATAAGAGACCATTGGCTGAACGGTTTACAACGGCTCAGTTAGCTGAAGGCCCTTAAAATAGATAGACTTTCAGGCCCTTAAGTTCACGATGAAGCGAATATTTCATCCTGAGAAATCGAATATTGCGCATGGAGTCAGTCAAGTGATTCCAGTGAAGGCAGTCAAGTGATTCCAGTGAAGTCAGTCAAGTGATTCCAGTGAAGGCAGTCAAGTGATTCCAGTGAAGGCAGTCAAGTGATTCCAGTGAAGGCAGCCAAAGAATTCCGATGGAGGCAGCCAATGGATCCCGTGAATGATCCAAGCCAAAGGAATCCATTTAGTCATTACTCGTCCTTCACTGATTCAACCCACAC